GACCTGGTGACAGTTCCTCTTCGCAGTATAACTACTCACCATAGTGGGCTTATTCATCCATGCTTCTAACGGCAAGGATGGATCAAGACAAAATAACAAATCCCAGTTTTCAATTGGAGCGGGAAGGGACATCCATAAACAGGGGAAATGGGTTAATATAGAAATGATAATAATGTGCCAGAATAATTTGCATTCTTGAGGTTTAAGCATGGTCAAGGTGGAGGAAGGGTATGCCAAATGTATATAGATATATATAAATATATGTATATATATATGTGTGTGGGGTATATGGAAAGATGGTGCTAGCAGCTGGCAGGGCTTATGCTGATGACAAAAGTTGAGATGCATTTACCATCACAAAATGGAAGGAAAAAATATTGGACGCCGGCGGGAGATGGCTATGGAAGTACGAACAATGGAGTATGGGTGATGTATAGAACGCTAAAAAGAAAAGGTATTCATGGAATAAGAGTGAATGTTCAGATGCATCTTATAAGAGTAACAAACGTTGAATATGTGGGCGTCTCGGTCGAAACAAGGAGGGAATATATGTCTAGCTTCTCCTGGCCCATCCTGGCCCAGACGATTCGTTTTGAGAATCTTCATCGGGACTGGCTTTAGAGTCTATCTCCTTTTTTAATCTAAAATATGTAAGTTTGGTGAACCGGCTCAGCTGTGCCCAGAAATGACGGCCAGCTTCGTGCGCAGCAATTCTGTCCAAAAGATCGAGAACAGTTTCTCGTATCGTTGGATCGGGGTGGAAAAGCCCCATAGAAAGGTAAAACAGGCCTGCCTGACTTTCCGGGGTGACTGTTAGAAGTTGGCATATGGAATTATAGTCTTGGCAAACGTGAGAGAGGGCAAGATAGATCTGTGCTGAATCTGTGTGGCTCAGTTTAAGCGACCGCAACCTATCATGATGATGGTGGATATCAATAGATTGGACGGGACGCCCCGCAAGATAGAGCGCCGCAGTGTCTTGGATGAAATAGTAATACGAACGAGTATTCCTCCAGCCTTCGATTCGAGATACCCAAGCAGTTAATTCACGCTGTTTGGTTAGCTCGTCGGGCCAAACGTAACCATGCCCACGAAGATAAGCTGGGTCGGAACTCCCAGTCTGGCCTTCTGGTTGATCGTCAACGGAATCATCGCTAGGTGCAATGATATGAAGTGCAGTTGCCCCGTAGACTGTTTGCTCGAAAGTCGCAGAAATTCTGGTAAACTTCGTGATGTAAGCCCGCCACTTTGCACGGATGGCTCCCTCTCCGTGTCGCGATGCAACGCTCCGTATGATATCGTCCATAAAAGTGGAGTCGCCAGTTAGATCACCCGACGAAGATCCAGAATTGAGTACTGATGATTGTGCGGGTAAATTTAGTTGTTGGAAATATAGAGACCCCTCTGTAACGGGAGCTGGTTCGATATAACTGCTGATTTTCATTCGACCGCTCGGAAGATCGCACAGAAGATCCCACCATTCGTGGTGGTTAGCAAAAGCCGGGTTGGTGACACCGGCCACAAATCCCGGGACCTTCAGAAGTTCATCAATTTTAGTCAGATCAGTATACGGGAATGCATGTCGCGTAAAACCTCGTAGAATGCCCCCGGATGCCAAGGAACAAGCAGCGAGAACAGCCTCAGCAACTTCCCCAGACGGGCGGTTATGACCCAAGAATATAACACGTTTCTGAGTAAGTAAGGCATTGACCAAGACAATAATAGGATGCGTATATGCCCCGCTGCTAGTAAGGTGAGGATGTAGCGCAAAAGGCTGTGGTGAACTAGCGTGAGGACCTGAAAAGATTTGTATGAGTTTGATAAGAGAGAAGTTGCCGACAGTTTCCGGAGAAATGGCTGAAGGGACTTTGACCGGTATTGCAATATCGTTATAAATAATTTTGGACTCAAATTCATGGGTATCTCTGGGAAGGGCGTGCTTCGGATGGGAAGAGGAATACTTTTGGGGGGATCCCTCGGTGTCACGGAGGAACTTTTCATCTGCCGATCTTTGCTTAATCATCTGCTCAAATTTCTCAATGAACATATCTTTTGCGTCACTAGCCTGCAGGATATGCCGTTCAAGGTAGGTAAATCGGGGCAACAATGAGAGATCCATTGCATTTAGTGCGTGATACAATGCGGCTAGGGTTTCCGGAAAAGGGGATTTAAAGTAATCTTCCAACGCCAGCAGAAGTAAAGGCTATATATATAAATTAACTGCCTTGGAAAGATCAGCAGAATGTGGTTGGTTGCATTGTGTGACAAACCTTGTATATATGAAGAAAAGAATGGCGGGTACAAATTGCCATGGCTTTAACAACAGCTCCTCTGGAATGATATCAGACTCACGTATAATAAAATCAAGAGAGCTACCATATAACATACCGTTTTACTGATGTATCTTGTTTCGTGTTGACAAGATTTAAGACATACATTAGCGGTGGGCCTTCCGCATTGTCCTCATCTTCGCCTTCATCAGCCTCAGATACCTCCGAACCGTCGTCATTCAGTCCCCCATTTTCCTGGCTATTGATATTGTTTTCAGCATGTTGGCCTGCGGATGGTTCCACATATTCGTTCTCTTCCTCCGTCCCAGCATCCTTGTGAAGGAAAAATATAGTCCAATCTTGGCTGCGAACATGGGTTTGATCTGGTAACATGAGTTCCGCCAACATATGTTCATCGCCGCTAATCGCACTGGGATATTGGTGTTCCATAATGGGGCCACGGTCGACGTGGAACGAGGCGACAAGAATATACTCGACATGCAGCTCTGGAGAGTCTAGAGGGTATTGGGACTTTAGCCGTTTATGTTTCGCTTGGAAGCTGGTGTACGATTGGGCAGATAGCGGGCGCGAGGATGATAATGAACTATTTGGGGATCGTCGACGCAGGGAAGTCTGGGAAGGAAGTTTTTGCGGCCCATTGTAGGCAGGTTGGCTTGAGGAGGTAGTAGACGTCGGGATAGACGTAAACGACGTCCGTCTCTCACAAGACGAGCCATTCGTACCGGGACGAGGGGAGATAGCACTCATGATTGACAGATATAGAATAGAATATTGAGCCGTCCAGCGGGGATGACAGTCGCATATTTATCCACGTCTGGCGAGTGTATGCGGGTTTTAAAATGGCCTCACAGCCTCACATGCACGTTAGCGGATATTTATTTAGCATAAAAATTGGGGTTGGTCGAGAAAAAGGTTCAGGGGCAGCTGGGCAAAAGTCAAAAACACACACCACTGTTTCTCTTCCTCACAGAAAGTGCATTCACGCCATTCGTCTGCAGAGAACGCTACAATTGATAAAAACAAGAACGGGCACGACCGCAATCCATGATCCAGCAGGTTTCAGGAGTCAGCCGCTGTCTACGGCGTAAATCTTCCCCGGCTTCTGCCAACATCTCGACTCCATCTCGTTGTCTCGAACAATGCACGTGCCACCAAGCCAGCCCGGTTAAGTAAGCGTGGTCCGGATTATCCTATATCCGAGTGTGGGGAAATAACGGATAATATATAGTCCGATTGTTTACTTCTTTCCCGTTTCAGACAGGTTAAGTGGCACCGATGGTCTGAGGCAGAGAAAGCAACAATAACTACAACAGATACTCGATATTACCTATTACCAAGCTTGCAATTACTGGTTGGGGGCATAGTAACGGTCAGTTTTTGAACGCTGTGTCTAAATGTTCTTCATTTGGAGAACCTAGTCATCATGGTATGTACCAATTGCAGCGTTCGGTGCCTCCATCTTTCTCCGCTAAAGCATTTTCTTTTTATCCTCAGGTCACACCAAATACAACCCCATACAAACCCTCCCCTCTTTCCTTTGGTTCTCCTCGCACTTCTCCCTTCCGGCGACCCTCTGTTTCTGCGTCCCCTAACACGGTCATTCGTCCCAATACTCCCGGTAGCCCTAGCAGCAAAGGACCCACGCCCATCCAGTCCCCCAGCAAACTAAAGCAGTCACACGTCGCAGACGATGGATCCATTTTCTCAGATAGCCAATTTTCGCCTTTCGTCCCGGGACGTAGGGAAGTCCCAGTTTCACCAACCAGAGTATCCCATGGGCAAAACGAGAGCACGGCCTCCATGATGGGATCGAAGTTGGCAGACAGACTAGCCACGTATGGTGACACCCTGAGCAGATTGCCGCAAGCTCAACTACGTGAAATGCGTGAAGCGTTTCAAGTGCTTGATCGAGATAATGACGGGCAGGTTAATCGAGAGGATGTCGCTGACATCCTACTGAATTTAGGTAATTTCCATCCTCATTATTCATTGCCCCTTTATTTTAGTCACACCATTCCTGAACATATCTCACATAATTTATTTCTCCGGTTTAGGGCAAGACTCTTCATCTGCAGCTACTTCTCAATATTTCCCCCCTGGGGCGCCACAAACCCTTAATCTACACACGTATCTAAACTCAATTGCGAACCTCCTTGGCCCGCTTTCCTCCACACAGGAGCTCCTCAATGCCTTTGCAGCTTTTGACGAAGATGATAGCGGTCAGATAGATATGGATGAGCTACGGGACGCCCTCCTTAATACGAAGCCCGATGCAGACGTAAGTCCCTTAACGGAGAGGGAAGTCAACGAAGTAGTTAGCGGTTTCACCGGGAGGAGCACATTTGGGTCCAAAGGAGCAAAATCAATGGGTTTCGGAGGAGCAGCAAAAAGGTCGGAGATATTTCGTTATCAGGAATTTGTTGGGAGCTTGACAGGCGGTACGACATTAACGACATCCACCGTGACTAGTGCTGGACAGGGAGGAATGACAACAAAGGACAATGAATAATGGGATTTCAAGAAAATATGAGTTTTTATGTGTCATACCTTGGGTTTGCATAGGAGTTTTAGGTCTATTTTGGGTCGAAAGGATTCATATTTCTCTAGAAGAAACGGAAATTTTTCATCTGGTGGCTCTTGCATTTTTAAGGGGGTTGACCAGCGTCTTTAGTTGAGCACTCTATCCTTCCGGAATTGGGATGCGTGGTTATGTATCTCTAAGCGCGAACTTAAGTCGTTGGCGCGTGTATTCTTTCAGCACGGCGTCCAAAACAAGCGCAACCGCCGATTTTAGCGCCGATCTGGAATTCTCCACATTGCATCCATGCTCAACCAACAACATCGCCGCCAACAACATAGCCAGAATGAAATCTCAACAAATCAGCTGGCACGATAACCATCACGTTATTTCAAATCAACGTCTGCTTTCACCAAGGAGCCATGATTTGGGCGGGTTCCTCTATATCTTGACATCACTGATTTCCAGCTATCCTCAATTATTGTCCGCTTCGAAGCCACAGCAAGAATGAGCCAGAAAAGCTTATCTCAGTACCAGTTCCCGCCAGCTTCTGGTGTTCCTCCACCATCACCCCAGACCGCTCGAACCCTCCGTAGATACCAATCCCATCAAAGTCTCTCTTCACATTCCCCAACATTCCCTCCTCAACCCCGCCCGACTCTCCAGCGCAACGCCGCCAGCCACCGGGAGCGTACAGAAGAACATGCGGGCTACCAAAATGTGCTGCAACCTGTATTAGCGACGACCCGTACTCGAGCTCGAACTCGATCCAATAGTGATGTCACCGCTAATAGCATCACCGCTATACAGCAACAGCCTTCAACACGGACATCAATACCAACCTAATAAACGGCCTACTAGCGGAAGAAAATCCGGTTCATTAGGGCTCCAGGGGAAAAAGTCCGGTTTGGATGCATTGTTAAGGGATGGCCCTCCCGGAGGTAACATTGCAGATGGTTTACAGGACCTGAGATATCTTGTTTTGTCTAGTAGAGTTGATTCTGACAGTGATGGAATGGTATGGTGTTTCCACATCCTTTGAATACTCAATTGTGTAGCTTTCTAGTTAATTTAATTTGCCTCAGTCCCCTCTTCGCATTTACCTTTTGGTTTGGCCCTTCTAAATGGTTGAATCGCTTCCGGACGGGACGAATACCTTTTCGGTTGGTCATCGGAGGGACCTCTTTCCGGTCTATACAAAAATCTGCAATGATACGTTCCCGCATGTTTAACTTACGTATCCCCTTTTTCAAGCGGCTGTCTCTTTGTAGTGTAAA